TTGACGAATACACAGCGCGTCGTTTGTGACTGCTGCTTGCGTTGAACGCATGCGATAATCGCATAGGTGAGACTGCACTTTGAGATAGATTTGTTGAGGTGACATTTGGTATATTCCACTGCGACCTTTTTTAATATATTATGGTCCTCTAATATTAGATTACATTCTTTAGCCTGGCCCTTTTTAAAAGGTCCAATAGCTTTAAGACAAGCTTACATGTAGCTCTTTACCGGTGACTTTTCTTGGCCCAATGTAAAGAACCACACATTTGCCAGGCATACTGATACAAAATGTGCTTTACTGTTTCTTCCTATAGGTGACGGAATCTTCATAGATCATAATCTACCAATTCCATTAGCTTCAACAGCCTATTCAGTTTACAGTGTCCTGTTAACAGATCTATTATGACTTTGACTGTTTTCCTGTCTTTGCTTATTGTCTGCTGTAAATTTTGGCGAATGTTCCATAATTTACTGTTTGGCTTGTCTTTGTCGTAGTGAATTCCTCCACCTTCTTCTTTATGTGCCGTCTTCTACACCGAAGGTTGGCGACCATCATACGATAGGTTTCTCTGTTTTGTGTCGCATGAATTATGTTCGCAGCTTCTGGTATTTGAAACCATTCTCTCAAGTTTCTCAGCCAGGATTTCTTCTTTCTGCCCAAACCTCTTCTACCTTCAATCTTGCCTTCCACGATAAGCTGTAGCAGACTGTACTTATCATTACGGAACACATGGCCCAGGTATGACGCTTTCCTTCTTTTAACAGTTGTTAACAATTCCACCTCTTTACCCATTCGTCTTAATACCTCTGTGTTGGTCACTCTGTCTGTCCAAGGTATTCTCAGTATGCGTCGATACAGCCACATTTCTAGAGCCGCTAACTTCTTTATAGTTGCTGCTGTTAACGTCTACCCTTCTACGCCGTAAAGTAGCGTAGAGAGTACGTAGCATTTCGTGGCGCGCCATCGGAGGTTAATGCTTAGGTTGCGGCTGCTTAAGAGCTTTCTCATTTTGATGAATTTGGATCTTGCTATTTCAATTCGGATCTTAATCTCTACTTCTGGGTCCCACTTGTCATTTACTGTATATCCCAGATATTTAAATCGGTGTACTCTTTCAATACGTTCGTCTTCAATATGCAGGTCGATATGTTGAAATTTCTCCACCATTTCAGAGATTTATGCGCTACATACCCACTTTCTAGTATTTGTTCATGTTACTGCTTTTGCAAAGCCACAGAAGAGTTCCGGCCAATGAATGGAATTAATGAGCCTTACTTTACCATTTCATCTGCTTTTTCTATGCTCTTACAACCTTGGCGCCATGGTATCCATAACCCGTACCCTTGCAACTGTCTCCTAGTTTATTTAGGGCAGCTACACAATACCATGCTAGTTTAAAATTGACTTCTACAAAATTAAGTGCCTTAAGCCACACCTGGCTATTTGTGAAGAGGGCAATTGAACGGTGCGTTCTTTTTAGCCTTTCTATTTCTTTCAAACAGTGATACATTGCCGTTATTTGCACATGGAAAATTGTAACATCGTTAGATAGACTGTTCAGCATCAGGTACCAGGTAGCTTCTACTTGTATGGGTATTCTTGGGTTAGTCTTCGCTAACTGCTATATTATTTTAAATTTATTGTTGTTTCATTACGTGATGACTTATTTGCATCATTTACTAGAGCTGGCTGCGCCTTTAGTTATAAACTTTGATACTCTTGACTGGACCATTGTGTCTTTAACATTATTATGTCATGTTATAATAATTATACATTGATATCTTCAAATTTTTTGTCAAAAAGGTATAAAAAGGCAAGAAATACATCTTTTAATTTTTTTTTCTAGGAACGCCTCTTACTTTCGGTTCTTCCAGAGCACGTTGCAGTTCAAATGCGACAAGATTTAGACTCCACAGACAGCCAGTTTAAGAAAATTTATATGAGTAGACATGAGAATGTCAGGTAATCACTTTATTTTATAGAACTTTAATATTTAATTTTTATTTATTGTACTTTTACTATATTGTATTAAGTAGCTAGTTGCTACTTGATACAATATAGTAAAAGCTACTTTTCAACAAAAATGGCATTTAAAATTAAGAAAATGGTGTGATATTAAGTTATCATGAAAATACCATTTTTGGTACAATTTTATTTGTCTAGCACTATCAACGTACTATCAGCTATGTGAATAAAGAATCATGAGAGAAATATTCGGTGACATCTGTGATAATGTTATTTAGAAGAGGAGGTTTAAACATGAGATATACTACAAACAGATCTTGTGATAAAGACGTATTTTTTCTCATAAAAATATAAAGACCGATAGAATATCTATCAAGATCACAGCAAAACTACCCTTTTAGACTAATCCTTATGTTACAGCTACTTGGAAGAAGACAAAGGAGTAGGCCAAAACTCAGATGAAAATATAGTGGGGATCATGATGCTAAAAAAATAAGTGTAGCAAACTGACAGAAAGTGCTTACTAGCGAAATAGAGTTTTACTATAGGGTTGTGGCACCAATAGTGATGATGAACTAGTTGGCGTAATATTAATTCATTTCTTAAAAACGGATCGACTTTTAGTTTTCCCGTATTTCCGTCGCAACATTTGCAAGCATTTCGTTATCAGACTCAAGGAGTCCTTACCATACAAAGGAGGATTGTGAGAACTTAAAGACTCAATCCTTTAGACTCTGCAACTTTTTCAACAACAGAGGGTTCTGAAATAGCAACTTCACTAACCTTTACCTTTAACAAAAAGCAAGAGCTGTTTATTTTCTTCCGATAGTTTGATATATTATCATCCGATCCATCTTCAACAATTAAAATATTTTGGGCATGTTATAAAAGCAAACACAGAAAACATGGAAAGACTCATAATACAAGGAAAGGTAGAAGGCCGAAAATCACGAGGAAGATCCGCAACAAGATGGATAGATCAAATTACAGGAATATGCCAAAGACCTATGCATGAATTAAAAGAAATGACCAGAGACAGAGATCTCTGGAGACGGACAATACACGACATCACGTCGACCACTACACTCCCCCTGGGGGGTCAGGATTGAAGAGAGAGAGTGTGTTGGATGTAGATAGTCTAATTTGTAGCGTACATAAGTATTTTACGGATGAAAAAGAAAATGGCGGTCCTTTAAAATCGGTAATGTCTGTTCAACAACGCGTATGTGATGCTCTAGGAATTAGTGAAACCAAACTAAGAGGAGTATTACAAAATCGCAATAATGAACGGCCGAAAGAAGATCACCGAAAAACTCGCTTATCATTGAAAACGAAAGATATTCCAGATGGAAAAAAATTTGAAATTCGTGATACCATTTATCGAATGCGAGCCAACAAGGAACATGTGACCTTAGATACAATTCTCTTGGAATTAAGAGATAGAAAATTTGACGAAATTGGCAGAACAAGTGTATGGCAAGTGATACATAATTTGGGTTTCAAATTTCAAAAGGAGGATAACAGAAAAGCCCTTTGTAAAAGAAGTTCTGTTGTGCATAAAAGAATTAACTTTCTAAGAAAATATTCTAAATTAAAAAAAGAAAGGGCAAATTTTATATATTTAGACGAAACATGGATATTTTCTAGAGGTGCAACCAAGAGAATATGGCAAGATGATAACGTAAAGTCTATCAGACATACTGATAGAGAAGGGAAGCGTCACATAATTTTACATGCAGGAGGGAAAACAGGTTTTATAGAAGGTGCTGATTTAATATTTTCATCTAAATCAAAATCAAGTAACTATCACGATAATATGAACACAGAAATGTTTGTAAAATGGTTACATGAAAAACTTCTCCCAGGTTTAAGTGAGCCCAGCGTTATTATTTTAGACAATGCACCTTACCATTCTGAAGTATTAAATAAAAGTCCAACGAATTCTTGGACTGTTAATAAAATTAAAGAATGGTTGACAAAGGAACATATACCATTTACACAACATATTTTAAAATCAGAATTATTACGCTTGGCAAATATCCACGCAAAACCAAAAACCTTGGTTGTGGATCAGATTATTGAAAGTTACGGTCATCAAGTTTTACGTCTGCCACCGTATCATTGCCAGTTTAATCCTATCGAATATATATGGGGAATAGCAAAACAATATTATGACAACCATATTGGGCCTAACGGTTATAGCGACGACGCAGTTCGGGAAACTTGGCGAAAGGCACTTTCAATTGTAACTCCAGAAGTGTGGTGCAACTGCATATTCAAGTGCGAGAAACTAATAGAAGATTGGTGGACTCGTGAAAATAAAATAAACGAAATAAGTCCAATTATAATAACAATTAATGGTGATGACAGTGATGCTGATGACGATTATGATATTTTTGATGATAATGACTGATTTTCATTTTTGTTGGCATGGTAAATTTTTTTATTTTTCATTAGAAATTCTCTCCATGGAACAAACATACATATAAGATACATACACAATAATTAATATACATATAAATTATAGACCACATTTTTTTTTGTGTGAAGTGTAATATAAAATTGTTATTAGGTTTATATTAGCCACATAGGACTCCATTAATGAAGTAATTCTCCTTATTATACTGTCAATTATATAAAAGATTTTCCATTATTATTTAATTAAAAAAAGTTATGGATTATTTTTCATTTCATTTGACCAGTTGATATTTCCCCAAAGAGCAGGTAATTAAAACCGTTTTTAATCCGAAACCCGCGTAAATATAGCGAACCGACTATATTTTACTTGCCACTTGAGTGCATAACAAAATGCATGTCTAAAATTCTATTTTAGAGTATTTAACTCAATTTTACTAAAAATGCACTTACCACATCTGTGCAGCAAGCCATCGATATATTCAAAAACATAACACATCGACTTTATTTTATTTTATTAATAGAATATTTGTGTAACTCTCTTGGTTTAAATAAGTCTTAATCTAAATTAGTACAACCCTGTCTTTATAAAAATAATCATAACTTTTTTCTTTAATATGTTTATTGTTGCTAGTGTTCTATTAAATATTTTTTCTTCTAGTATTCTGTATGCAGATATCGTTGGTTTTACTGCTATTTCATCTACATATTCTGCTCAAGAACTAGTTAAAATGCTTAACGAGCTCTTTGCAAGGTTCGACAAATTGTCTGAGGTAAGTACTAAAATAATCAACAGTTATAATCATTTTGATAATACAATATGGAATAAAAAGTAGTAGATTTGGATAAATTTTAATTAAAACTAAAACAAATAATTTAACAATTAGCAAAATTTAATAAAACTTAATTTTTTTACCAATTTAACAGTATAGGTATTTTGTCAGAAAACCAATTTTTGCAATTCTAAAAAAATTATATAATATAATTATATAATAATATTATTAATTTCATTTTTAGAAATGAAAATGCCGTTGGTTTTGAGATTCTAACTCATGCGATCTGGTTTAAAAAACAGTACAGCCATCAATTAAAATAACAAATATAGCTCACAACGATACTTCTGGAATGAATATCGGTCAGAAAACTAAAGAAAAAAACAAATGAATCTTGTTACTTCATGTTTTAATAAAGTTTAAGATTTTGACAGTTAAACTACCCTATCATTGATTTGTGGTTCTGTTTGTCCTTCGTGTTTAAAAGTTTACATTATTAAATGTTTAAATGACATTTCGGAGCTTTTATGTGAATACTATTTGACCAGAATAGGGTTACAATATGATTTAAAAACTGAATGTGGCCCAATATATCATGTAATCCAAATATAGCCGGTCTTACGGGCGTAGGAAATTTCGACACTTAGCACCTAGCGACTAAAATTTAATGGCAATTTTCGACACCAGCCCCAATTCCCGTTTTTATCTTACGGGTATATTCGACACCAAATAAATATAGCTGCGACATAAATAAAATACCATAATTAATTTATTTATTTATTTTAATAAAAGTAATGTGCATTTTATTTCTTTATAACTGTAATAATATCTAAATATAATACAAGTAGTACCTAATTTTTGTAAATTTTACCGTTAATATACTTGTATACAATGATTTATTTGCTATTATAGGAATGAGAAGATACAGCTTTTATAAAATCTAACCTACGTATTTGTTGGGATCGTAGTTTATCCATCATTTTCTCCAAAAATGCCAATTTAGCCTTAACAGTAGTATCTTTGATTTTTGCTGGTATATGTAAACTATTTATTTTGACATAAGTGTCTACTTGAAATTCTTTTAATTTTTCAATAAAAATAAAAATAGAAAGATGTGTTGAATAAACAAAAAGAATTAAATCTCGAATGAAAGGATTCACAGGCATTTGTGGTCCTCGCAATAGACGGATTCTGATTAGACCATAAGTGTGGTGGAAATAGTAGGTGGAAATAGGAAATAGTGGTGCTATCAAAAATGTAATTTTCCAGTAAATAATTTGCATATATATATATATATATATATATATATATATATATATATATATATATATATATATATATATATATCAAGTGTTGCGTTTATAGGTTTATATGACATTAAATCATAAAGAAAGCATTCTTCAACTTCTGCTGGATTTAAATAAGTTAAACCAAACGTATGCCTTAACCATTTTCCAATTTCTGAATTTGTATCCTTATATTCTTGTACCAAACCCAAAGATTGAATTTTTTTAAACCAGTTTTGGTGTAAGTGAAAACGGCATCCACTAATTTTTGCATTGTGCCACATATACAATAAAGCACAGTGAATTGCTTTTTCAAAGTCCACAAATATTTCAGTTGGCTCTAATGATAATTGAAATGTTTGAAAAATCTTAGACCTTAATAAAGGAAATAAATTTTTGGATGTCACTGATAATTTGTCCTTTAACAAACAGTATGCTAAAGGAACATAATGTCCATTTTCCAAGCCATGTATAGTAAATAATTGTAGAAAATATTTGGTAGTGTATGAAAATGTACCATCCATATACAAAGTTTTTAATTTACACAACAAACGAATATTTGTCTCGCATGAAAATACAATTACATTTAATTCAGGATGATTTAAAAACAAAAAACTTTCATTGCGACAGGTTTTAGGAGAATAATTACTAACCGCGTTATGGACTTCTGGTATGCTTCTTGGTAACGGACCTGATAACAGTTTACGACGACAGTTGTAAATGTTCTTTCTTATCCTAGCTATGTCAGAAACCGTCAGCAAATTGGCATCACACTCAGCAACAGCAGTTCTTGTAATTTTGGCAGGCTTTTCCGATATGTCCTCTTGGGCTTTTCTTTTACATGCATTGGTTACCATCTTTACTTCAAGCTTTTTTGGATCGGCTTCATGATTATGTACCAAATCACTTCTTGTAATGGTGAGGTCCTCACAACCTATTGTAAACACTTTTGCGGAACACTTAGTGTTTCTTTGGATGCAGCGCCAAAATATTTCGCCGCTTTTTAACACTTCCTGTTTCGAGAACGAATGATGCTCCACCACTAATAAATCTCGACCACGGGAACTTTTTATCAAACTCATTTTTTAAATATCCGTATACGTGCACAAGTCAACGTCAAACAAGAAATAAATTACAACTGAAATAATTTAGTCACAAGTACACAAGTGCCACGCCCCCCGCCGTGACAATAAATATTGAGAAAACCCGCTTGTCCTGCTTGGGTGCAAATGTCCATCGCCGCTAATTACCTACCTACCTGCTTTACGCCGCGGTGTCGAAATTTCCTATAATAAAATTTGACCCTTCGATTACCCCAGGTACAAAGACAATTTGGTGTCGAAAGTTCGCCCGCAGGGTCTTACAGTCACAAAGTATAAACAATTTTATTCCAAGAAGACTTCTTGTAATCCAGCTGTGATGCTGGCAGTAATGCATTGGTTGGTGATCAGTATAGTAGTATCGTAGGGCTTGGGAGACCTCATCAAGAGATGATACTTAAAGGCTTTCAACAACATGGAAGACGGTATTAAAGTCTAAAATACATCAGACCACAAGACCGACTAGTAGGGCCCGGCCTACCTACACACAGACAAGACAAATCACAAAAGGCCTTGCGGCTATAAAAAGTAAACGCAACGACCAGGAGAGTCAGTTATAGGGAGAAAAGCCTAGATATGGCTACCCCTACAGTCAGGTGGCATAACCACAGTCAATAAAAACAGAAGGTGTCTCATTACCCAGGGCACCTTAGGTAACTTTCAGATCATAGGCCTCCTCACGTAAGTCACACGATGAGGAGGGGTGTAGAAAAAGCCAGAGGGATCAGATAGGTACCACTTTAATTAGTGAAGTGTGACCGGTTTGATCTTCGGACATGTGGATCCCATTCTTAGATTGGTATACACATGTTAGTAGAGCAAGGGTTGATCACTGCGTATGTGTGTATGTGTGTAGGAGAGTCAGTTAACTTCAAGCATCAGCGAGAAGCGCGTATACCTGACTTGACAGTAGCAAGTGCGACCTTGCCGAAACGTCGTCAAAATAATGGTCTTCATCAAAACCAATATTATTTAACGCGGAGTCCAATCAGGAAAACTACAGAAAGCATATACATATTTATATAAAATTAAGTAATAAATTGAGGTTAACGGGGTGATTTTTTTTCAGTCCTTTAGTACATATTTACGTGTTAACCTTTACATTCTATATCCCGATATAAATGAGTCAATCAGATTCAGATCTGACAGAAAAAAACAATAGTGTTTTCGAGCGTACCATGTGAATGTAATGGTTCAGGTCATAAAAATGTAGTAACATTATAACCGTATAAGATTTTAAAAATATTGTTTCTCTATTTTCTATATGTTTTTATTTCTAGAAATATAGCCAACTACGGATAAAAATTCTCGGAGATTGTTATTATTGCATCAGTGGAGCACCAAAAGAAAGTTCGGATCATGCAGTTCTTTCTGTCCATATGGGTCTATCAATGGTAAAAGCAATTAAGTAAGTACTGTTTTTCAAAATTTAAATTAAACTTAATTTAAATAAAACAAAAATTTCGAAAGTAAAAATTTAAAATTCCAAAATAATATTTTCAAATAATAACAGACCGCATAGCTGAAACTTAAGTTGATAGGCTACTTTATCTATTTTGAAGACGTTTCGCTTTCGTATTCTGAAAGCATCATCAGTTCATCTAAAAAGTACAATATGAAAACCACATAATCATGGAAAATATGTTACAAGTGTTACCTTAAAAAGACATGTAGCAGTCAATGATATTATATATATATATATATATATATATATATATATATATATATATATATAATTCTTATTTTTTGGGTTTAGGTTCAATAAATGTATGTTATATGTGGAACTAGATTTTATTTTCCATTGCATTCAATCAACGTTTCGGCAGGAAACCCAAAATTGCCAAAACTACAATATATATATATATATATATATATATATATATATATATATATATATATATATATATATATACATTACAGTAAGAAATAAAAGTACTTGTAACTCGTTTTAAAAAAATATATAAATATGTTTTGGATGGGTTGGAGTCAATAAAAGGGGCTATTAGGTCACTATTTTTTATCTCGAGCTTTCAATTTTGTTTACAATTATTTTCAAGAGCTGCTAAAAAATACAACATATTTTACAAAGTAGAACTTAAAAAATATATATATTAACTTACCGAATAAAATTAGTTTTGTTAATAAATTGCTGCTAAACACATTTCAAAAAATTTTCTTATTTAACAAATGTTTGTCTTAAATTTTGTAATATAATTTTCAAAAACTTTTTTAACACAAAAACAATTGCATTTACAAGTAAGTTAGAATAGCGACCAATTACAAGTAATGTAACAATAAAACAATTAAAACTTTGTTTTCAAACTTCCACAAAATTTATTTTAACTTCTTATCACTACAGCTGTTTCGGCTGATTGCCTTTCTCAAGTGATCTATTTTTGGCATGCGTTTACACTTTATAGTCTCTAATGAAATGGGTTGAGGAGGGGAGAACTGTTTGTCTCAAGTTGGTCATTCAGAATTATATCTGTGTTTTTTAATTTGTTGATTTCCATAGATTCTAACAAGGATAGCTTAAGGCGGCCTTTATTTTAAATGTGAAGAATTTTAAATTCGTTATTAAAAGAATAATTGTGATCTAGAAGGTGAAGTGCGTATATAGAATCTGTTTTTCTATTATGGAAAACCCTTTTATGTTCTGCAATTTGTTCATTAAAGTTTCTACCAGTTTGAACACTGTAAGTTTTGGGCAGTCGCCACATTTAAGTTTGTACACACCACTGTGTAAGTGTTTTTTATTTTGGCTCTTGTTATTTTTAATATATTTGCCTAGGTTGTTATTTGTTCGGAAAACTGGTGTTATTCCTTTCTTTTTTATGTGTTTGGCTATTTTTGTTGATATTTTGCCTTTATATATAATTGAGCAGAAGGTATTGGGTTTTTTTTCTGGTGGTGGAAATACTAATTTCAGGGCTTTCTTGTGTAGTTTTTGATTTAACATTTTATTAATTGTTTGTTTGTTTTATCCGTTGTTTACTGCTTAAAGATATTTAATTCTGTCTCAAAGTTGTATTTTGACATCAGAATTTCTGTTAATCTATGTAACATACACTTAATCTATATAACAAAAGATTTTTTACGTCAAATGAAATTAATATGGAGTTGTTAGGTATTTTATTAACTAGTTCTATTGTATTTTTTTTGGTAAATTTAGGTGAGAATTTAGTGTGTTCTAAAATAATGTCCACCAGTTTTTTTGTAAGCTTATTTTAAGAAGCTGTATAAAAAGAATCTATAGGTCCTATTGGGTGATCCAGTTTGTGTGTTTAATGAAAGACTATAATTTAGGAAGCTGTGTGTTCATGATATGTTTATGTTTCGGAAGGTGTTTCGACTCATGCAGTTTCTCACGAGCTCCACGCCTTTATCTGGGTCTTTTGACCAATACATATCACACGCCGGAAGTGTATGATAACCGGTAAGGAATTTTAATGGCAATAATCGTGCCACGTTTATTTGTTTAAAACCTTTATAAAAACTGAGTTTATTTTCAAATACAGAAATTGTGTACTAAAGCCGTACTCTTTGCCTTCTATATGCATGTTGATTTTTGACCGATAGGACATTAGGATCAGAAGTTATTGAGTTTTTACCGTCGAGCTTATACAAATTTTGATGAGCATTGATTTTGCACGCGTAACTGATATTCGAAATCACCGATCGCTTTAATCGTTGTTTCGTAGAAAACGGTTCATTTTACAAAAAAAAATGCTAATAAACGTTTTTGTTCAACATTGCCTTTTTTATTTTATATTTACCTATATTTTTTAGTTAAATATTTTTTCTATGGCCTACAGATTCTTGGTAAATCGATTTTTTTCCGTTTTCAGCTCTACGTGGTCGGTTTTAGGGGAAAGCCGGGGGGTAAAAATGATAAACTTTTTTGCATTTTTTTTACATTCAAAAAATGACATTTTCGGCAAAATTTATCTTGTTTAAAATTTTTAGAGGTTCAGTGGCATTTTCGTCTCTGACGACTTAATCAACTAACAATCATTCAAGTACAATAGAAAGAATTGTGTTTTTTAATTTATAAATATTTATTAGAATTATTTCATTATTTGATATTAGTGAAAAGCACTACAATATTGAAATACATGTTTATTAAAATATGAAAATATTTCTGCCAATGGAAAATAATTCACGAAGGAATAATCATTCCCTGACGCATTTTGATTGATTTTGTGAGATAAAATACGAGTTATCGAGATAAATGAAATAATAAAGTATCTATCGAATATTTTGTGTGAATGGCGTGTTTGTTGATTGGTCATTCATTATATATAATAGTGCGGTAAAATTAGTAATGATAACCAATTTTGGTGAAATATTTTGTGTACCCTAATTTAATAAAAAATTGAAATTTTCGAGACACTGACATCGATGAATTGACAAAGAGTAGAAATTAATATCTGATATCTCATTGTTTACCGTCATTAATATACCCAGTGGAACAGCTAAGTGGAATAAATTCGGTAATTAGACACCCCCATCGAACAAGGTTATAACCGATTTTTAGCGATTTTACAGGAGAGGCAAAAAACGAAAACATGTATTTTTAATAATTTGTAGCAAATTGATTAAACTCTTTAACACTAATGCGAGAAGATATTTATAATATATTGAGGAATTACTTTGAGATGTATGTTTTGTAATTTTATTTATCAAAACTCTTGAGTTTGATTGAGAGACAACCTTAAGATTAAACATTACTATTCGATGAAAAAGGTTGTAACTCGTTGAACAATCATTTTACACTAGCCGTGTTAATTAATTTTTCTGTCTTACTATTAAAAGGTTATATGTTTTAAGTTATTGGCACTGTCAATAAGAGAAATTTAGTTTTTATGTCTGTCTAGAAAGTATCCGGAAAAAAGAAAGCAGTATTATAATTTTACGGTAATTATTTCTATTACTTGAAATATAAAATTTCAAGAAATAATTGATCGCATTTAGTTATACAAACTAAATACTTAATCTAAATACTTAACTAAACGTCCAGGTACACCCGAAACTAAGTCAAGGCCATAATTTTCGGTAATGGTGTTCCAGGCCTGTAAAACTGACCAAATAAAACCTTCTTTATCTATCTCGTAGCGCTACTTGTTCCACTTCAATCTTCATCAGTCCCTATTCCCCATTCCCAATTCGTGTTCTTGCATTCAAACTTGAGTATAAGCAGAAGTATACCTTCTTGCATTATCTTGCTGAAAACGCCATCCCTCTGGATATAAAACATGAGCTGTTTTAAGAAGAAAACCATTTCATGTAACAATATATCGCACTATTAACATTACCATCAACTATACAGAGAGGTGTAGCACCACGCTGAGATATTGCTCCCCAAACCATTATTTTATTGGAAAATTTGGAAATTTGAACGGTAACACTTTCCCTTGATAGGACTTTTAGATGATTTGGACCAAGCTGGAAACAACTTTCATCAGATATAAAGACATTATTAAAATTATCTTCTCGAAAACGTTGATGTAGTTCTACTATCTACATCAACGTTTCCGCAGTTCTACTACTACGTTAATGTAGTTTATGTATTTCCCTACTTCCGGATTTAGTTTTGAAAATTATAGTTTCTTTCACGGTGTTCCAGAGCATATGGACGGGGCCCCAAGTTCTCAAACCGAGTTCATTTTCTTAAACGTGGCATTTTACAATCTAAAATATGTAAAAAAAAAGTTACTTCCGGTTTTACTTCCGTTTTTTATTTAAGAGGGGCGGAGTCTAACCGTTTTATATTGTTTATATTGTTTCCGTTTCCTAATGTAAATCTTTCTGAAAATCCTAAAAAACTACTTTCAATTTAAAAAAAATTGGCGTCGATACAGTTTATTTTTAGGATTTTTGGAACATTTACACCCGGCGACGAAAACGATGGATCGTTAGACTCCGCCCCTCTTAAATATCAGCAAAACTTACATCAAAACTCGATGTCGAGTTGGTCCGCTAGTATAGAATTATCACTGCACTTTAAGTCAAATTTTTGGTTACAAGTTAGCATGAAAAAAAAACAGAATATTTAATTATCAATGCAGATGTTAGGTTTAAAGTGTTAATAGACGAGAACGTGGAAATTAAACAAGTAAAAAAATTTTAATATTTAGGTGCAGTCATTGATAAGAATGGCTTAGGAGACACCAAAATTAAACACCGAATTAATCAGGTACGTAAAATTGTAGGATGTCTGAACTGCTTATGGTGGGATCGCAATATTTCCAAGAAAAACAAAAAATAATAAGGCAAAGCATGGTTGAATCAGTTCTTTGTTATGGCTCTGAAGTATAAACAATTAATGCAGACCCGAGGAGAAGATTGTTGGCAGTTGAAATGGATTATTTGAGAAGAAGTGCTAGAATATTAAGGCTAGAAAGAAAA